TCAGTGCACATGTATACATTAAATAATAAATGTATTTTTTATCACCATATACTGTGTTTTTGTTGCTCGAATGAATTTTATTATTTCTTCAAGGTTCTTCACATATGTACAGCTTAAGAGATATCAAGTAGGCGTAACATGTTCTCAAAAAATTAGGGTTGGCACACAGAAGAATTTTGAGTCAGAGATTTTGCTGGTTTTGGCACGCACTCACAAAAAGGTTGCCCACCCCTGGATTATATAATAGGCCCAGAGACTTGGGGCCCACCATACTGAGGTCATGGTTGGATTGATTTGGATGTTTAAAGGAAGGCCAAGAGAATGCCATGGAAATAGCTAGGTTTTGGTTGGGAAAGCAGAATATCATAAAGTCCTAAGGCATACCTGACTAGTTTCATACTATATTTAATGCTACTAACTGTCAAATGAGTTTTATTTCAGCGAACGTTATATATGACAAATAGAGTGACCTCTGCTTATTTGAATGAAGTCCTTCCTCACTCCTTTTCTCTGAGAGAAATATTTCTAGGTACTCTGACCATTCTCCATAAATCCTATTATTTAGCTTTTTACATATTTGTAAGTTCACAATCTTCTGGTTACTATATTTTGCCTGAGCATTGCACCTGTTTCAGGTTATCAGTCAGTATAACTTGATAGATATTTTCCCTAAGGTAAGGTAAAAAGGCTGCACTTACCACTGCGGTTGAACAAAGGTACAAACTGCTTGCCTTTAGAAATTTGTGTTTTCAATGACTTCCAGAGATACTGCAGAACAAGACATTTCTTCAGCATCCTCGATGAAAAATGAACATTAATAATGCAGGTAAGAACCAGGCCAAGTGATGATGAAAAGAAAACAAGATCCAGAAGCCCTAATTCTTTTAGCGAAATATATTTAAAATGGTAAGTTCAATAGTTCCACCATAGCAGAGAATGAGGTGAGTATTGTATAACCCTTAAGTTCTAAAAAGTTAAGTATCAATGTATGGCCTCTTATACCTTGGAAATATTTATGTACATATCTATGTATACCTATATCTACACTTACACTATGTTTATTTCTTATATAATAGAGAGGAAGTGTATGTGCTCTTATGTATGTCATATATGTTTTAATGTTTATTATGTGTATACCCACTATTACTATAGTATACCAAAGCTGAGTTTCATTGGTAACTTTTGTGATGTTACTACTTTATATATTTTACCTATAATGACAGGTCTCTAATATAGTATACGAGAGGAAAAGATCTTAGAAAGGTAAATAAGATAAGAGAAGAACAATTTAAAGCAGTGCTAAAAATTAATTAACTAATTTGCTCATTTACAAATTATCTACTGAGCACCTCCTGTGCACAAAATACTGTAAAGAATACAAAGTACTTAAGGTCAGTGTCTGATTATCAGACATTATCTGGTGCGTGTGTTCTCATGGCAGAAGTGGTGGAGAAGGGTGATGAGAGGAAGAAGCCCGCATTCCAACCACTGAGCCGAGGCAGTGTACAGGGCGTACAAATGGCATATGTGAGGTCCTGGTTAGCCTAGAAGGGTCTGCACTTACGCCTGCTGTTTTAGTGTAATTATTAACAGTCCTCTCCTTCATTCTCAAAAGTGTCTGGGGTTGGGCATGTACATCAAAACTCCATAGAGTTCATAGGAGATAAAATCCTCTTCCAGTAATAAGAAACAAGGAAGCTGTCGCCAAATCCTGAAGGGTGGTTTTGTTTCAGGAGGTAGAAACAGAGATGAGGAGGGCAGTCAAGGCTTATGTCTCATCATTGCTTTCTGTTTCCCCCATAGCTTCTTAAATTATGTCCCTGCTTTCTATTTCCTTTTCCTAAAAGTCAAAATCTGCTCTAACCAGCACCTTCACTTGTATGAACTCATTCCACGCTCTCAAGAACTATTACTATCATTTCTGATGAAAATTTGGGGCAAAGAGGGATTAAGAAATTGCCCAAGGTTGCTGGTAAGTAGTTTAACTGATATTTGGACCCAGATAATCTGGCTTCAGAGTCTATGCTTTTGACCTCTATTCCAGAAAATTTCTGATGTTTTTGGGCTGCCCTACTCCTGATTCTTCTAACCTACATCAGAATTTGCCCTGTTATAACTATCCCTGTATTCTCCCACAGAGTAAATTTGTACTTACTTCTTTTGCTGAGCTACAAGAATAATCCTAACAGTAACAGATGTTGGGAAAGTAGTTTAGTGCTATTGCTGGTTGAGAGGAATAGGATATTGTCAGATCAGTTTTACGCATATTTAATTGGCGGTGATAGCTGAGTATTCAAGTATAAATGACCAATCTTTGGAACTGCAGCACAGGCTTGGCAAAAAGGCGAATGCTGCAGTATAAAACTAAAAGGAGAGGAAAAGTTAATGAACAGTAAAGGCAAAGAACCTAAAATACAAGAGGAGGCCTAGAATAGTTTATTTAGGTTTATTGACAGCAAAGGAAAATACAACTTTCAAACATATATGTATATTTTGTTGATTTCAGAGAGGAATGGGTGGGGGGAGAGAGAAACATCAATGATGAGAGAGAATCATTTATCAGCTGCCTCCTGCGTGCCCCACACTGGGGATCAAGCATGCAACCTGGGCATGTGCCCCAACTGGGAATTGAACTGTGACCACCTGGTTCATAGGTTGACGCTCAATCACTGAGACATACCAGCCAGGCAGAGGATACAATTTAATGAAGGAGGTGGTGATAATCATTATCATCGAATTCTGAAAAATCCATGAAATATGATGACGACTGAGTAAAGATAATTGGATTAGGCTAACTGTAGACTGGTGGAAGTAAGAGGCAGATTTGAGAGCATTAAAGAGAGAAAGAAGGTGCTTTGGAAGAATAAAATTCAGCATCTGTTTGATATTTGAATCTGTCCATCACAAGTTCTTTCACACAGCTTGAAAAAAAGAAGAAAAACCTGTGTATTAATGCTTGCCCTTTTCCCATGAAATATATACATATTGTGGCAAGTTTAACACAAGGTAACGAAGTCATTATTAGTTTAGTGAGCAAATTAAATTTTCTATCACAATATATTTTTCATGAAGAATTTACACAAAATATAATTACCTACAAATTTATTTTAAGAAATTCCCTATACCTTCATTTAAAAAAGGTTGTTACATTTCTGGAAAACAAACAAAAAAAGAAAATGAAATGCTGCAGTTAGGATTGAAGCTCTATGAACATCTTGCCTTTTTAAGTAAGCATTAAACAGGGGAGACGTAATTCATGATAACCAGTAGCAGAGTATGTACAGCTTTGCTCCACATGGGTAACAATCTTTGTTCATATATCCACCTTTTGTATTTTCTAGTCCATGGTATTGAAAGGATAACAGCCAGAATTGCATTTTGAAAATTCAAAGTGCTATGTTAATAAGATTATTCACAGCCAAATTTTCACATAAATATCATTGGGGCCTATATTTCATTGAATTTTAACTGAGATAGAAGCTGATAAGTATAGAACCCTGATTTCAGAAGGTAATTTTTAAAAGGAATGAGATAATGGGACTGTAGGTCAAAATGCATCAGACTTGAGCAGTTATTTTGCAAGAATAAAATAAAAACAGTTTTGAAAATGCAAATCCATACAAAAAGGATCAATCAAGAGTCAGAGAGATAATAGATACAAGAGAGGAGAATAAACCATGGAACAAAGTATCAGGGTATGTAGAAATGAATGGGGGGAAATGATCTCTGGGAAGAAATGAAGGAAAGGAAAGGGAGGGAGAAGAAGAGAGTGAAAGAAAAGACAGCAAAGAGGGGCGAGGAAGGGAAGGGAATAGAAAGGAAAGAAAGGCATTTTTCATTGGAAGAGGAAGGAAGTTGAAGAAGTTCTTGACAATGTCCTCATGTTTCTTGGTGAAGTAAAAGCCAGTTATCTGAAAATATGAGCGCTCTGAAGGCATGATAAGGAACTTGAGCAACATTAAATTGACATTGCAGATTATCCACTTGTGATATTCAGAATTTCTTGGTGATGCAACTTCCCCAGCAATACTTGGCTGCCTGGAATATTTTCCTCTGCCAGTGCCTTTGCTGCCACACTGGTTGAATAAATATTAATTGACAACCTCATAGACTATTCCCATGTGCCAGGAAGAAATGTATTATCAGCTGCACTTGATTGAAGTAAATTTTTGATTATGAACCTTTTAATTAATTCATAGTGATTTAGAAACATTTATTTTCTTACATAATAACATGAACTTTCTGTGCACATTGATATGATAGGCAATTACAGGACATATTTTCTGTCTTTAATATAGCTTATACAGTTCTAATGTCTGAACTACCTGGTACACACATACAAATCTCAAACTTAAGAGGATGAGTGGTTGTGTAACCCAGTGGTTTCTAGATTCCATGTACTAGTAGAACACAAATAGTTAATTTGGCCAAATAAAATATTAAATAAACAACCCACTACAAATCATTGTAACCATAATTTCTAAAAGAGCTTTATAACGAAAATAATTTTAGTCTTTTTATAAATTTATTTATTATTTATTTATTCTTTAAATTCTTTATTTTTGTTATAGTGCTCTCTTATGGGTATTCTGAGAACAGCACCCTCTTGTGGGCATTTAGAAAACAGCACCCTAGTAAGATATTCTGCAAGGCTGAAAAAAAATTCCTTGTCTCACCGCTCTCTTAAACTGTACTCCTGTGTTTTCTTTGCCTTTTCTTTTTGCTTCTTTGATTGAGTGATTTTTTTCCACCCTGTCATCTAATTCACTGATCCAATCCTCAGCTTCTCCTAATCTGCTGTGTACTCCTGCCAAATTTTATTAGTGCTATGTCAGCCTTTATTTCTGATTGTTCTTTTTCATAGTTACTATAACTTTTCTCATGCTGTTGAGCATCTTTACCATCATTATTCTGAACTCTATATCAGGTAAATGTCTTATCTTCATGTCATTTATCTCTTCCTCTGAACAATTCTCTTGTTCTTTCACTTGGGGGTTGATTTTGTCTTCCCATTTGGGCTACCTCTTTGGATCTGTGACTGTGTATTAGGTAGATCTGCTACGCCTCTCAATCTAGTGCAGGACAGTGTCCAACAGTGTTTATGACTAATTAGATCAGGCAAAGACTCAAAGCCTCCAGAGACCTGCCTCTGCCTGAAGACTGATTGGATTAACTCAGCCAATGGTCCACAGGTGTCCAACAGGTTGGAGCAATTGCTTCTGACTGGGGGATAATTGTCATTCTCAGTCTCCTAATGGGCCTCAGAAACTCCACAATGTGGGGCAAGGTGTTTTCCAATAGGTTGGGAAATCTGTCTTCCCCTCAGGAAAAAAACCACCTTGATAGCAAAAGTCTTCCCAAGAAAGATGACCTCTCCAGCATGAGGAAATGACTCAGCAAGAAACCATGGTGTCTGCTTTCTGAGCATTAAACCCAGAGCCCTCAACCCTGGCTTCTGCATACCCAGCTCCAGTCCATTCTACCCACCCTCTGCCGCAGCACAAGGTGAGTGACTGCACACGAAATTTTGTGTGTTGGCCCTTTAAGAGGGTGCCTGCATTTCCAGCCATCTCCCTCACAGACAGCAACCCTGCTGCTTTTCACAGTCAGATGTTATGTGAGCACCTTTCTCAGTTCTGGTGCTCTCTGCTGGGGGATGATGACCCAGAGTTCTCAGTGGGAACACTCCACAGCTGAGATATCTCTCCAAAACTTCAGCTTCTATCTTTGGGAGCCTAGCCAGCACTTTTGCAATTCTGCCCTTTCTTCCAGAGTCTATCTGGTCTCTGCTTTCAGTCCTTGGTTATCAGTTGTTATTTCCAGCTAGTGTTCAGTGGATTATTCAGAATGTCTTTTTGTATTTTAGTTGTACTTCCAGTTTGGTCCAGAGAGTATGTCTGTTTACTGTTTAAATTATTACATACTAGGGGCCCGGTGCACGAAATTCATGCACTGGGTGTGTGTGGGGGGGAGGGGGGTGTGTCCCTCAGCCCAGCCTGCCCTTGCATCAGAGAAGGAAGAAATAACATTTTACTAAAAATGGATTGATGTGACCTTGTTTAGTAGGTATTCTTAGGGAATTTTCAGTGGATAGTCATAATCAAGTTTTGCAATCAACTGAATCCTGAAGTTTGAATTAGAATGCTATATTATAAAATTATTAAATTAAGATGTTAATA